CAGTGACGAAGTGGTCTGCATTCGCCGTAAGCTTGCTTTTGATTAGTACCTGCCACTGAACCAAGGATGGGTTAACACCATTGTCAATTGAGGTACATCCTTGACTTTAGCACTAAGCTTTGCATTCTTCCAGGGGGAACTTGAGTAGCGCTGGTGCGTACTAGATTGACGTTGGTGCGCGCTAATATGCGGCGATCCCTGGGCTAAACTTGGCTGGCGTGAACGTCCGGCAATTGTTTTGCCCTTCTCAATAGTAGGAATAGGTTCATTTGAAGAAGTTGTGTTACGTGTCTGAAGCGAAGCACGTAGCTCTACATTCTCTTGGCTAAGTGATTCGAGCCTGGCCATGATATTTTCGTACTGAGTGGGGGTAATTGGTGGCGGCGAGAGAGTTAAGCTTCCAGTTCTCTGGCGCCTTTGGAATTGTTCTTCTAGAAGGGATTCGTCATCCATTTGTTGGACAACAATTGTAGCTTCAGCGGATTGTGAGGGCGTGTGAGCAGGGGAGGTTCTACCTCTACCTCTGCCCCTGTTAGCACGTCTTCCGCGAGCATTTGAGGGGGTTGGTGATGCCATCGTTCAGGGACATATAACGCGGCTGCGTTCAGGGATGTATAACGTGGTGATACTGAGGATGATGTCGAGTCGGAATTAAGTCGTCGAATCGATTATCGTCAGCCAAAAACAAATAAACAAAGTGGGATATTATAACAGGCCTTCCCAGGCGAAGAGGTGACTTTGTTGTAATGTAACCGTGTGGAGTGAACCACTGCTTGCTGTGATGAATACGGAGTCAAACGGAAACTGCTGTATTGAGCGAACAACAAAGTGAGGAAGGAAGAGAGTTCCAGAGGAACGAGAGCTTAAATACAGGATGCCAGCAGCGCGCACGTGACACATACTACATGCTGCGCTACACGTGATCAACCCCTAGTTCCTCCAACTCCGTAACATATTTATTCGGCCTTTTATTAAGCTTTATATATAATATTAAGTTATAGTATTTATCTATATAATCTTACTTAAATCTAACTATAAAGTCTCTTTATATACTTAGCTTATAGGGTTATTATTTTATTTAGTAATTTTAGCTTAATTATATTTATTCTAAAGAAGTAACTAGTATTATATATAACTTATTAAAAGCTAGACTTAAATAAGTTATCTAGAAGGTTTATATTACCTTAAAGACCTAACTTATATAAGTATATAATATTAGAATCTTATTAGTTATTCGTATCTTTAGTAATATACTTTATAATATATACTAGTATTTCGAGAGTTTCTTCTTTTATATAATTCCTTTAAGTATATGCTACCTTATTTAATACCTACTTCCTTATTACTTTAATTTCTATTTCTAATATTTATATCTTTAAGAATACTATATTAACCTATAGCTTTACTTCCTTTACTAGCGTATTAGTATTAATATAACTAATAATTATAGTAGGCTAAAATAAAGGGGTTTCTTTTCGCTTAGTCTTATATATATATAACTTTTTTCCTTTCTTTTTTTCGGTACTTATAAGCTAATTAGAGTACTAGTTATAGTTTAATTATAAATATAAAAGTATATATAGAAGCTAAAATCATTTAATTTTAGTATAGTTATAGCTTCGAACTAACTAAAAAATAGTTCTATACTTAGGTAATACTAGTATATTATAAAACCTTAACTAAGATACTTACTTAAAAGTAAGCGAGGCGTACTTATAATCTAATTATATAATAATAAATTAATTAATATAACTTTATATAACTTAACTTATATAAAATTAACTTATAAAGAGTTTATTAAACGTAATAAAAGGGCGAGGGTAAGCCTATAAACCTGTCTAGCCTTATAAACTATAAAATATAGTACTATCTAAACGAGTATAAGTAGGACTATATAAGTAGTAGTAGTCTAGAGTTATATATTAGATATCTAGTATTTACTACGATAATGGTACCTAGTAAGAATAAGAATTATAATTAAAGACTATTTTTTATATTTATTCTCTATCGTTCTCGATAGTAGGAAGTAGAACCAAAATAAACCCCCTAGCAGCTTTCGTAGTTTACGTGAGCTCTATACTAGCACGGTTTAGAGCATTACCATTTTCTATTTCATTAACGGGATTCTTACTCTTCGAGTTCATTCTATATCTGGATTTTGATACAAATACCGAGCTTCTATAACCATGCTTGAAGTATCTAATAAGAGGACGGTAAGTTGGAAAACATGTAGCCAAGAAATACATCCCAGGTTCTGCCACGGAGTAGCTACGAGATCGGTCGATAGCTTGAACATGTCTGATTCGATGAACCCCACCATACGAAGAATTGATGCTATGATCCGACTAGTTTCCAATCAGCGACATGGTCCCAAATACATCGCAAGGGAAGAATACTTACATCGAAGCCGTTAATAAAGTAATTGTTACTCCAACCTTTACTTTCACCGTCGCCTTCATGCTCCATACCACCGGCAATGGCAAAACCAACATGACCAAGTCTGTCCCTACATTAGGTATAGAAATAGACGTGAAGAGAAGCCTGGAGTCTATGCAAGTACCATCTCCTTCGGATCGCCAGATCAAAGACACGGGATTGCATTGAAAGATCACAACAGGCACCCCGGCGACAGTCTGAAGAATTACAACAATTCCCAGAATGTATATTATCCTTCGAGTGAAACCAAAGCTGGAAATTTGTAGATACAGATGCAGGATAGAAAGCTTTGAAAAGGCAACTGCCAAAAGGTAAAGAATAGGCAGAGCTAGAAGTGACGATTTCCCTAGATTAACTAGCTTTTGCGGATCCGACAAGGCGATGGTCAGAGTGTGGTGGCCTATGCCTGTTAAAGGTATCATGACTAAATTTCGTATAATTAGTCTTCACAATTTCGTCTTACATCCTCTTTATTGTCTATATCCCTCGTTCCGATACTTGTATTTCCCAGCCATTTCACCCCACCCAAAATTATGTATAGAAAAGGAACTCACTAAAAGCCAGGTACAAATTGCAAGATTCGTTACCAGAGCTAGGACGGTAAAAGTATCGTCCCAGCCATAGGGCCGTGAGGTTAATCTTCGAGCTGCAACCCGAAGACCAAAAGCTGCGGTCTCGATAATGAAAAACAGAACCGCGACTATGAGGAGAATATCGCTTCTGTTCTCGGCGAAGTAGTTCTGAGGAAGTGGACATGTAGGAAAAATAACCGTGTTGGGAGTATGAGACCCTGGCATGGTGCGATAAGGGTTTTCGGGCGAGTGTTTCGATTAGAGAGACGAGGTGATAATGTGTGACGGACGTTATGCTTGAGTTCTGAGTGTGGATTTTAGATCACAAATCCCCCTTTCGAAATTTTGCTTCTGATCACTGCCTCTGTGGGTGGTCGTCCTTGGAGTATAAGTAGTTGCGGTGCAGAATGGCTGCATAATAGTGCCTGTCAAGCTGGGTTGTGTAACAATCTCTCTGTTCTGACAGACCAATCAGTGCCAATGGACTTACTGCGCCGAGTCTTTCCATCCCACAGAATCCGGGGGCACGAGAGGGGAATCGGAATAATTGGGTGTGCTTGGTTGGTTTGCAGTTGTGTTGCCTGTCAGATTTGGGCGAGCAGGGGATTGAAAATGTAGTCTGTTGCGAGGGGATGTCAGCCTCACGATAAGACAGTAAGCTATGATATCATTAAGCTAACGTTTATAGAACTCGAAGTAATAAGATCATGTTATAGCATGTAGTACTTTGTGCTAATTCCAAGCTAAGTTATCTTATACGGCATTCTGGTTGTATACTTACGCTCTATAGGAACGGCATAATTGACCGAATTGTATTCCCTAACAAGAAGTTACCTAGCCTAGCTACTACCTGTTACCTCGGACGATAACAGCGTATCACACTGGCGTGTTAATTCGACAAGGCATGGGATAAGTCTATTTACTGTCACTCGTACTTTCAAAATCTCCTCTCCTTATGGCCACAATACGCGCAAACTCATTCCCTTTATACTTCGAGCTATTGTTATTTTGAGAGAACAAGAGTTTGTCATATATGATAGGGGCTTTTAAGGTTCTTATATGAAACATTTTCGAAGAGATAATCAACTCTAGTCGAATAAACTATTAAACTTATCGATTTAATACAAGAAAAAAGATTACGTGAAAGCGATGTTAGGAAGATTCTAGGACCAACCAGAGAGACAAAGACAAATAATAAACCATCGTGTAGTAACAGCAGTGGACGTAGAAATATTAGTCAGTAGTGTTGGCATTGAGAGCAATTGACAAACTCCTCAAAACTCCTTGTGGGCCACTTGTGTGATGAATTATAGGTGAAAAGTTCATGAAATTGATGATGCTATTTGTCTGTGATAGGGACGTTCGTTACATCTGATAACGTTTAGTGCCACGCCAGCTTAGAGGCAAGTATACCTCTTTTAGTTGTATTCCAAATATAAGCCCCTTGATATTTTACAGTGTAAGTTTGGTTTTTACCACTCCTTTTCAAATGATCGCTTAGCAGAACAATCCAGATTGAAACAAGAGCTATCCTATACTCCACTAACCACCAACTCATTTCCTATTAAGCCATCCACCTACCACAGGCCAAGTCCGTAACAGCGTTATCAGTTTGGTTCTGGGATATGAAAATACAAACAGCACTGTGGATCTGTACCAACGAGTCCTTCAGGCAACCACCCCTTTCAAAGAGGTGCTCACTCTTTTAATAAAAAGCGCCTGCTTAATATATTTTGTGTAGAAAGCTTCAATGGAGAAGGTTAGACAGTCACTTTTGACAAATTTTGAGGCAACTGGACATCGTGTTAAACAGGACGTTTTATAGTGCAGCCATGAGAACCTGTATATTATTACGTTGTGTTCTACGTGGACTGGGAGCCTATGTTTCGGTAGTCCTCCAGTCTCAAGGAAAATGATAGAATGTATAGAAAAAGAAGTGGCATAAGAATATAAACTATTCAATGAAAGAGTAATGTAGGCACGGTTCTGTATTTCTTATAAACTAACGTTCTCTACTGCTCGAGATAGAGCCCACCTTTCTGAGCAGTGTTTAAGATCCAAGACCTAATAATACCCATGGAGAGGATGTACTGCTTGTCGAACAACAAAGGTAGCATTGACCGTTGTTACTAATGCTAATGCAAGAAGAAAAATATACCTTAGTAAGCAAAAGGAAGCATGCGCAAAGAAGTTTCATGCTTAGCATCGTTATCGCCTAATTTTCACTGCTCTGTTACGAGGTCTCACAGTCAATTTTCTTCGCATTCTTGACCAATCATGGTCAGCCTCGTACATATTTCGTCATCCCAAACAAGCCAATAATCGCGAGTCGCATCAGCCTACGCCAACCCGATAGGGGACATTTTCACGGGCCGCCTCTCGCATTGGGGCCAGGGTAGAACGCAATGCTCACCGTGCGTGAGGCTCAACATCTACCATGCCCCGCCTGAATCTGATCAAAGACAAGAAGGCATTCGGAAGAAGATGGGAGCCTATGAAGTGGATATCTGGTCCATCGGGGGAGCGCGGGACGGGGGATGGGGATGGGGATGAGTATGTGGGAGGAAGGGATGCGGCAATCTGGCGGCATTTGCTCTTCGTAGTAAGAAGCGAGGAATGCAAGGGTAGGCAACCAACACATACTGGCTTTCAGCAGCCTACCACCGTCTACTTCCCTATGTGTTCACCGGTCATGCGATGAGTACATATATCCCTTATGTCCTCCCAGTCGCCCGTGGTGGTGGTGCATGCCACTGTGTTCTTCGTCCGTCTGCTCACTGCAAAGATTAAACATCTTGGACGAGTGCAGGTGGAGGCGAAGATCGTATCTTACTCGATTAGTACTCGTCGTATGTTTAACGAGACCCTCACCCAACACTCTCGATCGGCTGACCAGCACGGTTTAGTGCATACAAATCATTACAAGCCCAACAATTCCCTACCAAACTTCTTTTCATCCAGCCTTTCAGATAAATATTCCAAAACTACTCGAGATCAGGGACAATTCATAATCCGACATGCCTGTAACGAATCTCCGCGGATATCAAGAACCGAAGTGGGATGTTCTACACTTGGAAGAGGAGCAACCTCCCGAATCTTTCGATGCTCCTCCACCATTCGCTAGCTCGGCTTCATTTTCTCAATCTCCCGCCGATTTATTCTCACGCCAGCCTGCAACTATTCGCTATGTACACCTTAAACACTGTAGGCTCCACGACGACGAGTCTCTGAAAGCATGTTCTGGGAGAAACAAGAGAGGAGGTGTTTGTTTGAATAGGGCCAGTGGGGCGAGGATGGCTCACCTGATGCCTACTTGCAACAAACATCACAACCAACCCCGTATGGCAACTTCATGTCAAGAAGTGCTTTCTTGTGGCTTCACATGTGGAGCCGTATTTGACTACAAACACCACGATTTCCGATTGTGCCATCGGCATCGCTCACCACAATCATGCTATCTTCTCAAGGTTCCCATTGAGGTTCGCATGACCATCTACGAATTTTTGATCCCCGAGTCTTTCGTACCAGCTAGATTTATGGGCTCCTCGTTGAGCGACCGGTATCTCACTGGCCGGAAAGTCTTCAGAGGGACGAACATGGCCATTCTTCGAGTCAACTCACTGATCCACGACGAGGTTGCCAATCATATTTACGGCAGGATGACCTTTGAAATCCACATAACTCGAAAATTTCTAGCGATTTGCAACGGCGCCATCAAACAAAATCAATACGGGGTGCGTAAACCAAGGCCCAGTACTTCGGACTTTCATGCACTTCGAGATCCGGACTATCACAAAAATCACGCACTTCAAGACTATCAGATGCAACTTATGCTTCTTGAGCAGCAAAACAAGAAAAGACTCATGAGGGCAAGGCAGGAGCAGGATAACTCCATTGCAGGCTCGAATTTTAACAACTATTCTGGTGTCACTCGCAGCCAAGCCCCTTCCATTACAGTCCCTTTTCATTACAGTGATGTCGATGGTCCTTGCTGGATCCAGCCAATTGCCGATAGGTATTTCAATATGATTAAATCTTTCAACATCCATTTTGAAGTTCCTGGTACCCTGGGCTACCACCAAGGTATCGGCTATAATGAAGCCGGGTCATTGGCCGAGGACACCTCGCTCATTATTTATGAACTTAACGACCATGTTCATCGCTTGCTCGGCAGGCTTCAGCAGCTCCCCACGAAGAATCTACGATTAGAGATCAGAATTGATTTCGACAAGATTTATACCAACATTCCAGATGCCCATTATGACGTTCGCCTATTACTTGAACCTTTTAATCGAATCGGGAAATCTGCCAATTTCCAAACACAGGGGGTCCAAATGGGATGCTCTGGCGGGTTAGAGGTTGAATTATATCCGCGCAACTTGAAACCTGCAGCGAATGGAGAATATGGGAATTTTATTGACTACATGAGACGATGGCCAAAAGAAGTTTCTCGGAGCGAACCTTCGCCGGAGTGTATGAAGATCTCGAGGGATTATTGGAAAATGGAGAAACTTGTGACGGGAATCAATAGCCAGTGCCCGAACACGATCATCTTTGACCAATTCACCGGGATTTGCCAGGAAGCAAGAGTTGCGCGGGAAGCGGTAGATTGGGAACGTTTTGTGGAAGCTCGCGAAGCGGTTATCAAAGTCTGGAGTGACTACACACGAGGTCAGAAGGCTTTCCAGGATGGGGTTGAGAGTGAAATTGAAGATTTGTGCGGATCTGCGTAGGCATTTTGGTTCTGGGCTGGATCGGATTTTTTGGGCGGAGCATGAGACACAGACAATGTGGGGAGGGATTTGTGTCACCATCTACTCGAGTACATGCTGCTGTGAGTTCCGGAAGGCCTCCTGCACAGAGAGGATATTCGATATTGCATATTGCATATTGCATCAAGGGCTTGAATCTCGTGTAAGGGTTGAGAATCGAGCCCTGTGCCTCGGGGGGCTGTTTTTTCTTCTTTTGTTTTCTGCCGTCATGTTGTGGAACTTATGGGTATGCTGCATGATTATTGTTACTTGGGGTATTATGGTTCGTTCACTGTAATCTTACAGGGAAAAAGAAAACAATGAGTGAGCGAGAGTTGGAAAAACACAAGGCCCCATTTACTAAAACTGTAGGTGTGCGGATAGAGCTACCCGACAGGGAAAATGTATGAATTTATTTCTAAATAACTAAACACACCCCAGAGGTTACTGGGGTGACACCCAATGATAAGTGGAAGTGGAAGTGGAAGTGGCTTTGCGCATCCCGCATCCCTGGGCCAACAGCCATTGGCACCTTCCTGTTTTTTGCCAGGATCCAGCTTGGTCGTCACCTAGCGAACCTGTAGGTGCAGATGCTACATCTTCTCATCGCATTCAAAGGCTTCATTCTTTTTTTCAAGATTGATTGACCACAATACCACCCCCGATTCTTCCTGGTGGTGTTGGTCGCCAGCCCCTCGACATCGACCATCCTGTGACAACGCATCGTCCGCCGGATAAGCGCTGATAAGACTGTTTACTCACGGCCTGTCACCGCTGATGCTGATCTACATTCCTGAGATACACCACTCCAAGGAAACGGCTACCTATCGATATCCAATCTTCAGCAAATATACTAGCACAATCATATTGTCTTGAGGGGTCGATTTTGTAAGCATCGAAGCTGCCCCTCGAGGGCCAGCTCATGGAAACCCCGCCGTCATGGCAACCGAAAATCTTTCCCCCGCTGGAAGCAGCAGTTACTCTTCGAGTACCATGTATGTGGGAGACGGGACTTGGGACTCGACCAGGAATGATTTTCTGCTGCCGAATTTGATGGGCTTGAATTTTGAGACAATGCGATATAATGGTATTTATTTCCCCACAGTCAGAATATAGCGTCCGCTAACTAGAATTGTCCAACAGGAATGGGAAATCGGTTTGCAGGTATGCCAGGATATTATGGTTTAATATTAGGCCACGCCATTCTCGCGGTGATAACTTTCCTCTTTGTCGTTCCTGCCGCCATTATGATAGCTCGGTTCTACGGACGATCGCCTAGAATGGCCCTCCGAGTTCATATTTACCTACAAATTTTGACGGTTGCGCTCACAACTGTGGTGTTTGTGCTGGGTTGGTTTGCCGTGGGACCCTTGCGAAAGCTCACCAACCCGCATCATGGAATTGGACTCGCCATCTACGTCTTGGTCCTGGTTCAAGCGGTTGCCGGAGCCTGCATCCACAGCCGAGAAAGGAAGAAAGCAAGGACTAGAATTCCATTTACACTCTATTTGCATCAGTGGATCGGACGAGCGACTGCATTGCTGGGAATTGCACAAGTAGCTCTAGGGTTGACGCTCTACGGAAGTCCAAAATGGACCTTCATCTTGTACGCAATCTGGGTGGCTTTCCTCGTGCTTCTTTTCTTCGTCTATAGCTTCAGAGCTCGGGCTTCCATTGATAGGATGGTAAGGAGAGAGAGTAGTCACGGCGGGACCGTCATTTCCGACAAGAGGTCAAGTCGGTTTGGCGGCATTGTTGCGCCTCTTGCAGCCGGAGCAGGCGCAGCTGCGTTGTTGAGCGGACGAAGGAGGAGTAGGAGCCGAAGTAGAAGTCACAGCAGGTCGAGGAGGGAAGAAGTTGTGCCGAGTCGCAGAGGTAGTGGCACCTATATTGAGGACGAGAAGTTTGACCACAAGAAAAAGGGAGGAGGAATGATGGACACTTTCATGAAAGCAGCGGCTGCGGTGGGTGCGGCTGGTTTGGCGAAGAGTTGGTATGAGAGGAAGCAGAACAGAAGAGATGATGTTTCCGTTTCCGAATATACTTCAGTTGCACCCGAAACCCCCAGCAGGCGGCCCAGCAGACGACATCAACACACTGAGAGCGTCTATACTGACGCTACTAGACTGGAAGAAGGTAGGCGGCCACATTCGCCATTGTTACCAGGAGATCCCAGTATAGCCGCAGCGGCCTTGAGTGCTGCAGAGGCTCGCCCAACAACAGCACGACCTGTCCGCCCTCAATCGCGGTCTAGCTACACATCATACACCGATTCGTACACTAACAGCGACTCTCCATCCAGAAGACCTCAAGAAAACCATGGAGTAGGAAAGGGAATTCTGGCTGGGTTGGGACTTGGTTGGTTTGCGAAGAAAATGGCAGATCGCCGAGAGAAGAAAGAGGTGGAGTATGAAGACGGAATCCACGAAGAGAAACTCGAAGACGAGAAACAGAAACGCCAGGGTGGCAGCTCACGTTATACAGGGGATGGATTTGGTCCTTCTCGGAAACAACAACGACAGCCATCAACAATAATGTCTTCTGACTTATCCTCCATCATTCCCTCAGACCCGCATCAAATACGACCAGGATCTTCTATACCTCCCATTCCTACATCATTGACAGGAGGAGCTGCTTCACCAGCCATGAGTCCCGTACAGATGCCTCATGCACCACCTGATCCTCAAGGAATTCTACACCAATCAGAATCTGGCAGTGAAGCCTATGTGTCTAATGGAGGTCCTCCACTTCGAAGACCCTCTGAGAGAAGACGACGACAAGGGGATGCTGCCGCTGCCGAAGCGGTCGCAGCAGCGGCAGAGTTGGCTAAGGAGGAGGAGGCGAGAAGGCGAAGAAGCAGAAACAGAACCGACACCGTCAATTCGCCTGTGAGTGTCAAAGTCAAAGTACATGGCGACAACGACCGGCATGTGACTCTACGGCGACTTACGCAAGAGGAGGCAGAAGCTGAGAGAGCAGCGCGGGGAACCTCCAAGGCTAGGAAGAAGCGTGCTGACAGTATGAGCGATCTCAGTGGCACTGATACCGGGGCCGACAGACGACGATACAGGAGGGCCGAAAGAGCAGCAGAAAAGATTGCCGAAAAAAGAGCTGAGTCGGCTCCTACGACACCTCTGGAACCTCCATCTACAGCCGGAGGTAGAAGGGCAAAGGACAGTGCCTATTACAGTGGCAAACCAGGAGATGCTTTTGGTGTGGGGGGGACAAGTATTGCAAGTCGGGAGAGCCATGGAACTTGGAGCGAAATGAGTCCCTCAGGCGCAGGCATCAAAAGCGAAATGGGTGCTAGTGCTGATGAGCGGCGGCGGCGGAGAAGGCAAGAAAGAAATCGCAAGTCGGGTGGGCCCACGAGTACGGTAGAATTTTCCTAACAGGTTTAAGGGATTGAAGATGATGAATATGTTGGACGCATCTGCAGGAGTTTGGGACTGTAATATCTGCCGGCCACGTGGTGTACATGTTGATGAAAGGGATAATTTCTAGTCTTTTGACTTAACCAGGGATGATAGGAATGGTAGATAATTTCACTGTATATAGAATTTAAAACACTTGGGCGCTTTGACGTGTAATTTTTTGCTTGGAATTTTGCGAAGGAAGATGTGTGTTGATGATGATTGCTATTGATGGCCCCATGCTTCGTATACTTTGTGTGCAGGCGAGAAATAAAAAGGGGGTGAAAGCAAACAATAGCTGGGACTGGAGCTAGCGAACTAGAGGCGAGGTTCACCTTGCAGAGGTTGATTGCAGGGATTCGCGTCTACCAATGCGCGCCCGATACCTACTTGCCTCTTCAAGAATTGCGACAACCAACTTTCTCCATTCTTACCAAGAGACTTCTCTAATTCACAGAAAGTGTTTAGTACCCTGTTTCTTGTTGTGCATCATATTCTATCTGCAACAATGTCAACCTCAGCGGCGAACCCCCAGGCGCCCTCGTCCAACTCCCCTCCTCGATCCCCCTCGCCCCCTCCTACCGCACCTACGGCACTCACCCCGGGGCCTCGCGCAACCGCTTTTACGACTCTATACCAGAAGACGCTCTCGGCGACGCTGAAAGCTATTTCTTATGATGCGTTCGCGGCTTGTTTTCCCGAGATTGCGGAGAGGGCTCCGGGGGCATTGAGGGCTTATCATGGGCAGTTTTTAGGACGATTGGAGGGGTTGGCTAAGGTATGTTTGCGCGGAGAAAGATTGGAAGGAAATGAGGGGATATATTGTGGATTGGGTGCTGATTACATACACAGGAGGAATTCTCAACGATTGTCGAGGAAAGAAATATAGTCCATCACCTTAATAAACTGGAAGACATCATCGCCACCGCACGATACCGCAAATCGCAATCCTCGTCTGACGATGCACCTCCTAGTTCCGAAAACGAGGAGGTTCCTCCGCATACACAGCCTCCTCCCGAGTTATTGCGGGCGAATCTTACGCCCCATTTGCAGAGTCAGCAGTCGCTCTTGAATGCGAAGTTGCAGACGGTGGAGAGTCAGAATGCGCAAATGGCGAAGAGGATCGCGGAGCAGAGGAAGGAGATTGGGGGGTTAGTGAGCGGTTTGGAAAAGTTGGTAGGAGATCTGGAAGGCGCGGGGGACGGATTGGGGGAGAAGGGCGAGGAATTGGCGGGGAGTAGTAGGGAGGTGGAAGTGATTTTGAGGGGTTGATTCTAATGAGTGATATAGGCGAGCACATTGGGAATTGGGGCTTAAAATCATAGCATGGGTTTGGCATTTGGGGAATCTGGGAGTTCTGCGTGTACCATAGCGTATGTGTTTGGAGGGGCCATATGGCTAGAGAACAGTTATTGTTGTTCGCATATGAACCTAGTTATGGAGTAGGACTACTTTGGTTGACGAGTCAGATATTGAATTGAGAGCACTCTTGAAATCAGTCCAGGAAATACAAGACGTCTCGCAAGGAGTTGCCTAGTTGATTCCATTTCCCTGCAAAAGGCAGCTTCACCGCATGCTTCCCAAAGCGGCGACGATCAATTTATACTGCCACCCCGCCAAAACACCAAAACATCGACACTGCTTGAATAATTACCCTCTTGGACAACTCCAAATAACTTCTACTTGATAGAAAATAGATGGCTTCTAGCGCCCCAGCCAAACTAAGTCATCTCGAGCCATCACCTCTAGGCACAAAAGAGTAGTAAGTCTTGCGCGTTTCAATTTACCCCGCCAACCCCTCAATCTACTCTCAAAAACTCCAATGAAGCTCCTTTTAACAGAAAGCTAAGAAATTTCCTTCTCTAGCTGGGACAAACTCTATACCAATGAACTGTCAAACCATGCTCTCGACGCCTCCGATATTGGCACCATATGGTTCAACGATTCCTCCGCCGAAGACAAAATCCTCTCCTACCTCTCGACCTCTATCCTTACCGACCAGCTCCCTGGTCCCTCTATAACCGCCAAAAACTGCAGCTTCCTAGACTTGGGAACCGGGAATGGCCATTTTCTTATGCGATTACGTGGTATTATCAACGAAGATGAAGATCTAGACGAGGAAGATCCAATTTGGGAAGGAAGAATGCTGGGGGTGGATTATTCGGAACGAAGTATCGAGTTTGCGCAACGGATAGCAAGGGACAAGAAATTAGAGGGTGAGAAGGAAGTGGAGTTTTTGAAATGGGATATCATGACGGAGAATCCGGGGGAAACTGCTGTTCTGAGGGGGGAGCAGAAGGAAGGGTGGGATGTGGTGCTTGATAAGGGCACGTTCGATGCTATTAGTTTGAGTGAGGAGAAGGATGAGAGGGGGAGGAGGATTTGCGAGGGTTATAGGGAAAGAGTTTTGCCTTTGATTAGGGAGGGGGGTTTGTTGTTGGTGACGAGCTGTAACTGGACTCCGGATGAGCTGAAGGGGTGGTTTGTGAGTGGTGATGAGGGAGAGGGGAGGTTGGTCGTTGCGGGAGAGATTGCTTATAGGAGTTTTAAGTTTGGAGGAGCTGTGGGACAGACGATTAGTAGTGTTTGTTTTAGAAAGGAGAGGTGATACATCGATGCTCCCGTTCCCTGACTTAGAGGGAGCTTCAGAACTTTCGAGGTTTCTGCCAATGTTCGTTTCCATTCCTTCCCCCAGACCTTCTCTCATTCCTCGTCGCAAATTCTTTTCTGCTTACTGTTGGAAAGCGAACAAGTTGAGTGGCTAGTATAGCCAATATCTCACTGTCTACGATGAGTCTCCTCTCTCTGTGAATTTGGGCATCACTTCTCTGTGTTTCTGAACCAGTTGAGTCAATGGAAGCCATAAAGAAATCCAGTAGGTTAAAATAAGTCCCTGCAACAATTTTAGTCGAAAATTGTGTAGTGCTCGACAAAAGTGACGTAAGCACAAACAAATCATGTTAGAGCTACCCATTCTTCACCATACTATTCTTTTCGATTCATCAAAATTTAGTCTTAATCCAGTGTATCCAACTATCATGGCTGCGCGTAAATTGTGCATGAAGGCCAATCATTTCCGTCGAAGTGTTTCCCGCGAGCCCACCTTACCTCGTCGCTTATGTCAATCCACGTGCTCTCCTCCTCCTTTTCATCCAATCCATCCACGAGCCATCGCAACCTTGTTATACACCCAGTGGCTCTCAGAGCGGAGCGTCATTGCGCTGATGTCTGCGGCTCACTAGGAGTGTTGGAAGGTTGGTATTAATATTGAGAGGGTGAAATTCAATTAGAGCAGCAACATCCACAAGTCTTCACGGCTCAAGTATCTCCTGCCGCTTTCGCTTCCCATTTTCAGCACAGGGGGATAGTGACTAATCAGCTCTTACCGATACTCACTGCCCTTGGCAGGCTACACCCATATTCCCCGGTATTGGGAAATACTTATGGTGTTGTGGGTGAAGTGTACCTGAAGTGAATGTCAAGAATGCGCGTCAAGCGCATCCATCTTCGAGCCTGGTTAAAGTCCTGACCTACTAACCATATACTCCAGCACCCTGATCTAGTACGCCGGATGAAGTATACATGACAGGAAAGGTACGAACAGATGAATAGGCGAAGGGTATCTGCTAAACAATTGTTTTGTCCCAGGTCGTATCCCAAAAATAATGGCTTGCCGCCCGAAAGGAGCTGCTCGCCAAAGAGAAAGCCGCCCTCAAAGCCGCCGACGAGCTACGCGCACAAATTCGCGATTTTCCAATGGTCAAACTTGACAAAGACTACAATTTCGAGGGCCCAGACGGACAAGTCTTTCTCTCCGATCTCTTCAACGGACGCAAGCAACTCATCATTTACCACTTCATGCTTGGCCCGGACGACAGATTTGGCTGCAATGGCTGCAGCTTCGTCGTCGATAACCTCCCATCTAGACTCTGCCATCTCAATTCTCGAGACACTACTTTAGTCCTTGTTTCTCGCGCTCCACTCACGAAGACCGAGGCCTTCAAGGAGCGAATGGGTTGGAACTTCCCGTGGTATTCCTCCTTTAGTAGTGACTTTAATTACGACTTCCAAGTCACTCTGGACCCGAGATTTTCTGCTTCGAAATACAATTATAATGCTGCTGCTCCGGGAACTAAAGGCGAGCAGGCTGGTTTGAGTGTCTTTTATAAGAATGAGGATGATCAAATTCACCATAAATACTCGACTTATGAACGAGGGTTGGATCACTTGCTTGTTAACCACTCTTTGTTGGATTTGACACCGCTTGGAAGACAGGATGGGGTTCATGGTACGACGAGTTGGAGGTTGCATGATTTGTATGATAAAGATGATGCCAAGGTATGGGGATGCTTGGGAGGGATGGCCTATAAGATTTTGTGTTCTGCTGGTGAGGCGTTAGGTTGATTAGGAAAATTATCTCGGAGCCGTCGTGACAGAAATGGTGATTTTATTAAGGAATTGTGAAAATTTGGAAATGGCAAAGGGTTTATAGTCGCAACAGGAAAATTGCCCTTCTTACGGCTTAGGGTTGAGGATTGGTCATCGTTCGTTCATAGGTTGCGCTCTTTTCGAGGCTCTCTTTTCTACTAGTCTGGTAGTCTAATCCACTGGCTGGCCAACAAAACGAATTTTGCAACCTTACTTTCCAGTACACCACCTCTTATTCTAGCAACCCCCCTCCCCTCGACCAGTTGAAATGCCCTTGTAATTCTCCCAAAATGTTAACGTGAATCTATCCAGCATTGCTTGTTAATATCGATTCTGTTATAGCTACCATTCGATCGTGTTACATCTCTTCAGAAAAAGTCCCAACTCCCTGCCAGAAGAAAACCCAAGACCTCGCCAGTCAACAGACCCTGAGTTGTACGGCTGTACGAGCACTTCGTCAATAAGATCCCAGTTAACATGGCTAGCTCCATTATTTTCCCGCCTGCATCAAAGCCACCCGCCTCTAGGCGCCAAAAAACATTCCAGAAGAAAACCGTTGGTAAACAGTTTACCCCTGATCAACTCGGTTAGCGAAAGGTGGCGCCGTTTTTAGATTACGGCCAAGCCACCAAGTGCAGACGTCATACATAGATACACTTTAAGCAAAAAGGGAAACAACAAAATAGTTTTCATTAACATCAATACCTCAATGTAAGCATCTCACCAACTAAGGAAGTGCTCACGACGTCACAATGGTAAAACCAAGGGTGATATATTGGTTTCGTACCGATCTACGACTCCATGACTCGCCGGCTTTGAAGGCTGCTTTGGATCTTCAGCCCGAGGCTTTTTGGCCGGTTTGGACGTGGGATCCGCATTATGTTTATCGTGCGAGGGTTGGGGTTAATAGGTGGCAGTTTTTGTGAGTTGTTCTTCATTCCTTGGAATGGAAATAGTGTCATACTAATGTCTGTAGAATCGATTGCCAGAACGACCTCTCACAATCAATCACCAAGTTAAATAAGAAATCAAGACTATTTCTTCTGAGAGAGGCACCACAGACTCTGTTCCCGAAATTGTTCAAAACTTGGAAGGTTACTCATCTGGTCTTTGAAAAGGACACAGATGCTTATGCTCGCGATAGAGATGCGATTGTCATGGAGGCTGCTAAGAAGGCTGGAATTGAAGTGATTGTACGATCAGGACGGACGTTATGGGATAGTGATGAACTCGTCAAGAAAAATGGGAACCAACCGACAATGACCATCTCTCAAGTTGAATCGGCAGGACCGAAAATCGGTGCGGTTCCAAAGCCTATTCCAGCACCATCTTCAATACCGGATCCTGGAAAGACACCATTGGATTTTGAGCAGGAAAAGCCAGATCAGAAACCGGATCTTAATAGTGCGCCTAGAAAACACAATGATAAGTCATACTCAAAAATAGCAGGACCGAAAGGCGATTTTGCTGTTCCAACTCTTGAGGAGCTTGGATTTCCGGCAGCAACTACAGAACATCGAGGAGGAGAATCTCATGCACTTGAGGCACTTTCAAAGATCATGAAAGATAAAAAATATACCGCCACGTTTGAAAAGCCCAAAACAGCACCAACAGATTTTCTGCCGCAATCAACCACGCTCCTCTCTCCTCATCTCCACTTTGGCAGTCTGAGCATCCGAGAATTCTACTGGCGCGTCCAGGATACTATAAAGAGCTACTCTGGAAAAGCTTCCCAGCCTCCGGTTTCTCTCATAGGCCAACTTCTGTTTCGAGACATGTATTTTGGCGCCCAGGCAGCTCTGGGTCACAACTTCGCACAAACGATAAATAATGAGCATTGCCGTTTCATACCTTGGTCACTTCCGAGCGACATCTCGCCTTCTACAAAATTGCTTGCTGGCACCTACAAAATCGATTCTGAAGAGGCAGAAACTTGGTTCCAACGCTGGAAATACGGAATGACAGGATTTCCATTTATTGACGCGCTGATGCGACAATTAAGACAGGAAGGATGGATCCACCATCTTGGTCGTCACGCTGTGGCTTGTTTCCTGACGCGAGGCGGGTGTTATATTCATTGGGAACGTGGTGCAGAGGTATTTGAAGAGTGGTTGCTAGACCATGAAACTGCTTGTAATGTTGGGAATTGGCAGTGGTTGAGCTGTACTGCTTTTTACAGTCAGTATTTTAGGATGTATAGTCCTATTGCGTTCGGAAAGAAATGGGATCCGGAAGGTAGCTTTGTGAAGAGGTATGTGCCTGAGCTTGAGGGCGTGAACAAGAAGTATCTCTACGAGCCTTGGAAGACACCGGTTGGAGATCTGAAGAAAGTGGAGGTCAAATTGGTGAGAGAAGATGAGGTTATGGATATGGTGGAAGCTTCGAAATCTGGTAGAGAGGCCGGGAAGGGAGTGTATCCTCGGCCCATGTTTGATTTCGCAGAGCGACGAAGGTTCTGTCTCGATGAGATGAAGAAGGCATATACGGTTGGGTTGTATGGGAATAACCCGAAGGTCTTGGATGGATCCTGGAAGGAGTTATTCGGGGATTTGCAGAGTAATGGTAAGGATGAGGCTACGGCGGATGACAACGAAGCGGGGGAAGACGGTGATGGAAATGCGGAGAGCGGGAAGAAGCGAAAAAGGGGCAAAGGTCAGGGAACTCTAGATGGTCATTTCGGGAAAGTGAAGAAGTGAAGGAACGAGTTCTTGAGTATATATCAATATCAATCTGGTTCTACACTGGTAGTTCCTTGCAACAAGAACAGCCAAACATTCTAAACGGCGCTGTCCACGTGACCCAGGTTGACATCATCTCTACCTAGTGAGACTCTTCATGGGAGAATTCACCACCCAAACAAGCTAATAGAATGATGTTCGCTTGATTGTTTTCATGGTAGAAACACCCAGAGCCAAGAGAAGACATTGGCTCGGTCAAGATTTTTCATCAATGATGAACCGGCCTAAAAGTACCACCACATCAACATCAACATCAGCATCAAGGACTATCTTGAGAACATATCAGCGATGGAGATGCCTGCAAGACCTCGATATCCCCCATTCCGAAAAAGATACATACGCGTATGCCAGACCCTGACCAGAACAAGGTTTGGGTCCAAGTCAATGGGTCGGCAGTTCTTCGTACCGGTAGGAGCTCTGAGCCCTGAGCTCTTCCTGGCGGTAAAACCCCATATGGGAATGTCAATTACAATGGCATAGCTCATTGTGACTCGGGGTGTACTGGAGTAGATGGTAATCTCGGGATGGTTGTCTCCTCTCGATGGAAGAGTACGACTGGAGCTGGCCTGCAAGTGTGATGGCCTCTTCCATGGAGATGTAAACTCAGGTCTTTAATATAGAGACTGTCAGATTACCTACCACCAAGTCTAGAGCTGTCGACTTTCTGCGTATATGACTCCTTCCGCTTGGGACTTGATCGCTGGATGAGTCGGATGACTTCCGATGGTGTAATTAGCTTCCAGAGCGTCGTGTGGTGAGATGGCCTTCAACCCAATGAAGTGTTGGGAAATGTGGGTTGTGATGAGCTCATCGGGGTGGTTTTCAAGATTGGTAAAGTGACCCTGGACAAGGGTGGACGATAGGTCTTTACTTTCCAGGTTAAGCGTTATCGTGTAGCATCTCCACGATGGCTGGCTGGGGAACTTCAAGGGGTTTGTTTACACAAGCGACGGTATGGAGATCTCCAACTTGGTAGTCAAATGGCAGACGCTGTCCTCCCTCGAGTCCATATATAAAAGTGGCGCTGCAGCATCAGAAACTTTCCCCCTTTTCTTGCCACGCGGTCGTGATCACCGTTGATGTTGGAATACCCACTTTTTCCAGCCTTCATAACTTGCTCAAGTGTGCACATCTCCCGTCCCCCTCGAAATTACCGATGCTCATACTGCGTTTCTAAGTGGAAGGTTCCAGAAGACTCGACAATACAGCACTGTAGGGTACCGCAGCAACAGCAACAGCACCAAGCAGCAACAAGCGCCAGTACCAGCCTCCCCCCCTCCGTACGAGGACCGATATCTGAACTTTGGACCGATCGAAACTCAACTGCCATCCTCCGTACCCATACCCTCCGCCGCGTCCGCTTTTTCTTCTCGCCTTGTCATTTACCATATTTTTTCTCTCTTCCCTTCCCCTTGAGCTCAGCACTTGCACAGCACTGCATTGCACTGCAATAGCACTTTGAGCGTGGCATCCAGATCGGCCATCACCACCAGACATTGCAGCATCTTCACGTCTCGGACTCCTCTGCGCATGGAATTGACAGCCTGAAAGAAAATCAGTCAAAGGAAGCTTGCAGGCTCCATCCAGCCAACCACGGCACATTTTCTCCGGTTCCTCCCTCACAGCGGCAACCCAGCAAGTCGGTTATTCCCAATATACGTCAAAAATCGTGATAGTGACCGTGATAGTGAGAGTACGGTACACAATTCACTTTCGGACGAATAGCGAATAACACGCGACGACGACTTGACAGCAGTGGGGTGAACTTGCGGCGACCTAGGTATAGTGCACTACTCAGCGGGTGTCGTTCTTAGCTCCAGGCCTACGGAATAGCGCCCACGCCTCTGACGGTTACTCCACACCTCCCGCAGTCCCCAATGAACTTCTTCTCCAAATCTCCCAAAAAATCCAAAAAGACGCCTACAGACGAAGACGAAGGTCAACCCTCTCCCGCCTCTACGTCGCATCCACACCGACCTCGCTCGCCTCTGAAAAAGTCCGTCTCGTCAGCACGACCAGGCAAGGCTCGCGACGAGAACCTGAGCAGTGGCCGCAAGGCAGAGCAAGGATCTCCTCGAAGCAGTCGTAGCTTCCCAAAATCCAACAATCCACCACGACATCCCTTTGACCCTAATACGACACACCCTCTGAACCTGCCGCCAGACCAACTGCGCAGATTCTCAGCATTAAGCGCCATGTCAGACCAGGACAAGATGAACGTGGATGTGGACAGCCCACAGACGGCACCCATTTCTCCCCCACCAAAGGCCAGCCCACCAAAGAGTACCAGTCCACCAAAAAGCAGCCCGCCCAAAGCCAGTACACCTGCACCCTCTGAACCCTCAAAGACAAATGGAAATGCTGGGACCACGAATGGGGAGGGTCCAACCCCTCCTCCTCATAGATCCAACCCCGCCAGTCCTGTGCCCGCACCAGCTCCTGCTCCCACTCGTGAGCAAGCAGAAGAATTCAAGAGTGCTGGCAATAATTTTTACAAGGCCAAGGACTACAAGAGAGCGATTGGAGAGTACACCAAAGGTAACATCATCTACTGCATGTCTTGAAAAATTATGGTTGGCTGACAGGAAATTTTCACAGCGGTGGAAGCACAGCCATTAGAGCCCACCTACCTGAGCAACCGCGCTGCGGCATATATGGCAGCAGGCCACTACATACCAGCATTAGAAGACTGCAATCGTGCCGATGAATTAGATCCCCAGAATAGCAAAATCCTTCTTCGCTTAGCAAGAATCTATACTGCCCTCGGCCGTCCACAAGATGCCCTCAATACATTCCACCGAATGCAGCCCCCTCCATCCGCAAAAGATATGGCTCCTACCAAGAGCATGTTGCAACATATCAATGTGGCCGAGGATGCACTTGAGAATGGGACAACTGGCTCCATGGCTTCACACGCTCTGGACCAGGCTGAAAAATTACTTGGGATTGGTGCTTCAAAGCCACGCAAGTGGCAGTTGATGAGAGGCGAAGCATATCTAAAGATGGGCAATGTGAATGCGCTTGGCGATGCTCAAAATATTGCCATGTCTCTGTTACGAAGTAACTCGGCAGATCCCGAGGCTCTGGTTTTGCGAGGAAGGGCACTCTATGCTCAAGGCGACAACGACAAGGCCATCCAGCACTTCCGCCAGGCATTGAGCTGCGACCCGGATTTTCGACAAGCAGTGACATACTTAAGAATGGTGCAAAAACTGGATCGCATGAAGACTGAGGGAAACGCACACTACAAAGGTGGTCGTTATCAGGAAGCAGTTGACAAATACACAGACGCTCTTGATGTTGATCCACTGAACAAAGGTACCAACTCGAAACTGCTTCAGAACAGAGCGTTGTGTCATATTCAGCTCAAGGATTACAAGTCTGCCATTGCTGACTGCGAGCGTGCTCTCCAACTGGAACCTTCTTATACCAAAGCCAAAAAGACCAAAGCAACTGCGCTGGGTCAATCTGGTGATTGGGAGGCTTCTGTCCGTGTCCTTAAAGAGATTGCCGAGCAAGACCCATCAGATGCAGGTATTGCCAGGGAGGTACGCAAGGCTGAATTGGAGTTGAAGAAGAGCTTAAGAAAAGACTATTACAAGATCTTGGGGGTCGACAAGGATGCCGACGAGAATGCGATTAAGAAGGCCTACCGAAAAGCAGCTATCATCCATCACCCAGACAAGAACCCCGATGATGAACATGCTGCTGAACGTTTCAAGGATATTGGGGAAAGTTATGAGACCCTGAGTGACCCTGAGTAAGTACTGAGCCACCTTTAATCACAACTTTTGCTAACTAAGATGAAGGAAACGTGCACGTTACGACAGCGGCGTAGATCTGGAAGATCCAATGTCAGGCTTTGGAGGAGGTGGTGGAATGGGCGGTGGCATGAACATCGACCCTGAGATCCTAATGCAAATGTTTGGTGCACAGATGGGAGGCGGAAGACCCGGCGGGGGTGGTGGCGGATTCCACAGCTTTGGAGGTGGGGGGATGCCAGGTGGTGGAGGACGACGAGGAGCTCCACAAGGGTTCCCAGGGGGTTTCCAGTTCCAATGAGAAGCGGAGGAGGACCTATATTCTGAGCCTGCTGCCGCCACCGAGTCAGGAAAACCGCATGCTTTCAGTCCAGGGGTTTTTGATAGGGGTAATGATATTTCGGATGCGAACCTGCGGTGGCTTCGCAAGTTGGGATGGGGGGTCCTATTGGCTGGCGTCATGCTGCCTTTTGATATCATTGCTTTGCTGGCGGTGATTGGGGCGGTGATCTTGATATCCCTCCGGTTGTTTGTGTATGTGCGTCGTCACGTCAATCTTTTCTCGACATGATGAATGATGATCGAAATGCGATGATCTTTATAGAAAATTCTTTTGAGATGGGGTAGGAGGGAATTTTTGAAGGATGTTTTCCACGAAATCCACTCTCGCAGATAGACATCAAAGTTTTTCTCTCTTATTCATTCATTGCTGGGCGTTTAGATTTTGTTTTTTGTCGACCTTCATGATTTTGTATCTGGGACTTTTCTTCTCGAGTCTCTCGCTCTCTCTCTTTCGTTCTGATTCCCTTGGGGGGTTTCTTTTAGTGGGGATCCATGATTGGGAGGTTGGGATGAGAATGAAAAGCAGAAATAAAAATGCCTTGTACTTTTACGTATATCTTTCGTCTTTGCTTGGTATTTGATAAACACTTGACTTGTGATGATTCCATGTAGTAACACTGGATGCACTGACCTCTCAGTTTAGGCTTGAGGTGCTCCTGGGCCTTTGCTACCTGGGGAACATCTTATCAAGTTCTCGCAAGTGGAGGGAAGGATCGTACTTTCCTACAAGATCTCGGTATGCCATCTTACTTGGAAGCATCTTATGAAATGCAATACACGAAATTGCCTGGGAATAATCTAGGAGATAGAGAATGCCGTAGGTATTAGAAGACCAGGAAAATGGTTCTTCGAAAATTGGTAACAAGAAACAGGTATCTAAAAGTTACAGGGTGAATGCGAAGGAAGGTATGGTGTAGTTGTGAAGAGACCCGTATATCTTCATGTTGTTTGAGAATGAAGAACGCAATGGAATTTCATTCCTCCATAGTTCAGGTAGTAAAGGGAAGATAGAATTTGAGAATGAGGCAATTGCCATGAACTGGCTCGACTGGATTTGGTTAGTTAAGCGAAGCTTGGGATTCCTGGGGTTGTGATAGGATTTAATAGCCTTTGTGTATGCTAAACACTGTGTATGAGTAGGGATACTGAAGTCGGCTTGTTAGGTTGAGTGGAGATGTGGAGATGGGAGATTGATTATCGTGTCTGTTTGAAGGGCTGTTGAAATGCTGTTTCTGAGTCTTTAGGGGTATGAGTATATTTCAATTTGCGTTGTGAGCACCGGTTCTTCGAGGGGATAGCTGGAAGTCCCCACGTACACAAAATCAATATCAAGTAATATCGATACCACTTAATCCCCGCCATATATTTTATCCCCTACACCACAGTTTCATACCTGCTCCCTTCCTATTCTCGGCCATTTTATTACGTACCAGACGACATCTTTTGGTGCCCCTTAATTCACTCGGAGAGGCCTTATTGATAGTCGATGTCTTTACTTCCCTTGATTTTTGATTAGAGGTTACGTTGATTCGTCCTCACTAATCTCATACTCATTCGGGAAGCTGTCGTGAGATTATCTTAAGATCCACCGTGCTTCCGCTTATCCGGCTGTTCTTCACTATGGTTCCAAACTTCCAACTTGACCTCGTGGACTTGAAATGCTTTACTCTCCTTTTTATCTTTGCAGACAAAAGACTTGAAGTCCTAGTACGTACAAATGGTCTCATTAGCATCTTGACCCTTTTTACGGACCTCAACATCGAGCGTCCTAGGTTCTGATTTGTGGTCTTCGAATACATTAAAGACTGGGGGGTTTAGATCTTTCATCTCGCTAGATGCAGGATCAGCAGTCTAATCTGGCTGTACAATAAACTTTTCCACATGTCTTGGTCTCGCGTCTGGTGTCCAACGAAGTTTCACGATAGAAATATTAGGCTAGTCGAATATAGGATTGGGAGCATGCGGGTTCTTAAAGAGCTCATACATTGATTCGAGTCTCCCAAATGGAGAGATTCAGTGAGGAAGCGGTTCGCCATGATACAGTAAGCGTGATTTTGATACAATCTCGATTCTGACTTGGCTAAAGGGAGGGCTTGAGAGACTTCTTTACTTTCGGTATAAGCTCAGCATTGATAATGCAATCAAGGTTCGATGAATTGTGCTTGTAGCAGTTATAGGGGAATGACTGACTAAGACTCTTCTAAAAGAAAACCTAAGATATATAAGTTTTCATAAGCCTGGTAGTATTAAAGCTATTCAGTTCAAGAGTAAGATCTTGCTAGAAACGATAGTAACATTCATGATTCCCTTGGAAAAAACCTAGCTTGAGACATGAAAAACAACGATAGCACACAACGTAGAGTATTTTCATGCTGTAGACCACCTACTCGGAGGACTCAACGTTCGTAATTCGCATTATTCCTGTTGGCAGTTCTTATCATGATGAGAATAACTCTTCAGGTGTTTCAGTTGATAAAGGCAGCATTTTCTAGTGTAGATTTTATTAGTGTCTAAAACCTTATTTTTCACGTCCTGTCTAAGCTGATTACAGCTACCATTACACGTCCCTGGAAACCTGGCTTACCTCCAACTCTATTACTTACTATTAGAGCTAAGATAACGGCGGTCAGTTAACAGTGTCTGTCTTCTTCTCGCAGATACTGTGCATTCCTCTGTTACAATTGAAGGCGTTTCCATAGTAAACTGTATTTAACACAAGTTATATATTCTGCATGCAAAAGTTGGGGCCCAAAAACAACACATCAGCTCATACCATAGCAAAGTTACATAAATGACTAATCCTCCAAACTCTCCATTCTCCCTTCCCATACCGTTCCAGATTCATATTTGTTAGATTCTAGGCCTCGAAGAACGGTTACGTTGTTTCCAGTATTTAGCTGAATGCATTATACTTCGCACGTAGGAATACGACGCAAATGTCCTGGTAAGAAAAACGGTCATGACTCTGAACACACTTTTGTACACCTATTATACTAGAATTCCTAGAGAAATCAACTCAATTGTTATAAGGATCTTGGGTTCATAAGAACATATTAATTTAGATTGTCCTAAATTGCTCGCATACTAATGTCAGCGTACGGGACTTTCAGAATAATGTTGTTCTACCCTAGGTGTATCTAGAGTTATGCCCGCATCTCTTGACACTTGAGGTTCACAAAATTTGCCTTCTTGCTTGTTTTCGAAAAGTGGGAATTTGCGTCTGGAATGAATACTGCCCAAAAAATCAGAAGCTCCAAATATATCCAACTTTGACTCATACACCAACAGTTTGCTTGTTGGTTGCCGCGGGATTGTTGGTCTCGCTTAGTCCCGATTCCAACATGAAATATGTTGGGATGTGGCTGTGTTAATGAGCCTGTGCTTATTACTCGCCAGTGGTGGTCATGCTCGAAGTCATGTTGGGACGTCTGTTTTTGTTTCATTGGCATGGAAAGATCGTGATCCGAAAGTATTGCAAATTCCTGGAATGCACAGCACTTGGTCAGTAAGTGCATTCGTATCTATTTTTAGTCTGGATTTGTTGGTCGCTGAGAATATGGCCCTTTATAATCAGAAAGAGAACTGATCATAAGTAGTAGAAAGATTCCTACGTTTTGTCTAGCCCCCGAAAAGCTGAAAATTAAACACATTCTACAATTATCGCTTTACTACTCAATTTACTATTTCAAAACACTTTACAATATTCACCACAAAATGCACTTCTCATTACTTTTCTTCCTTTCTTTGACAAGCCTCCACACAACTACAACGGCAGCCACTATACAAGGAAGATCAACAGCAAACCAGAGACGACAGACAGACCCCAAACCTATACGAGGGTTGAATAAAGGGTTGGATGAATATGAGATAAAAGCCACAACAACCCAGATCATCGGCGACCCTGATATCGCTCTCTCCCTTACAATCTTGGATGGGCAAGTTGGTGATGCACCCGTCTGTTCAATTCTTATCAATACCGAGGTGCCATTCATAGTTGAAAAACAACCATGCAACGTCAACAATACGTTTGTATCCTATAGATGGAACGGGAAGGATGATGGATCACGATTCGAGTACATTTACCATAGGCCAACGAATCCGGACCCGGATTTTCGAGGCCTGAATTTCCTAGAACCGTGTACCAATGGTGCAAATTGCGTTTGGCGCTTCAGAGATGGACCAGAGTCAGAAGGCACAGAAGATACAGGAGATGCAGAAGTTCTAGAATCTGATGCCTTGGGGACTACTCTTCACTTGGAATAAAAGGATAGTTATTGAGGTGTTTCGGGGAACCTTCCGAACATGCTGTGACTGAAGAAATGGTTCATTTTGTTGGTATGTTGGAACTGAGAGAGATCTGGAGCGGTGTGTTTTAGGAGGAAGGAGATTTTTGGAGGTTTAAGTAACACTTGGATTGTGTTATGATGTGGTCCTGACGTTGAGATCTGATATACTTTATTCGTTTTATGGAACTATCTGCCTTTCTGTTCGAGTGCACCTCGTTCGCTTATTTTGATTTGTTCACTATTCTTACTATTCTTGAAATGGTCAATGTAATACCTGAATATTATGCTACTGGACAACACAGGAAATACTTGCTCATTTGGCTCCAATTTTGGTGGCTCTCAGTTACTCCAGAGTGAATCTATAAGTGTTCGACTTCTTGACCAGTCAGTGACTTATTAGAACCCTGTCATCCAATTGTAGCACATGTGTATATCATACGGGAGCACGAGATCTGAGGCTACTCACACGGACGATTTAACTTGCCTATACTTCAATCAGGTTTCGTTACGGTTGGTGATAAGTTGAATTACAAACTTACAGGCGTTTACAACCGAACCACTCCTGTGGAACCGCCTCGACAACGAGCTCTGTGACTTCCAACTCCTACGAGGGCCAGTGACTCGTTTAGTGCTTTCCCCAAGAACGGTACTATAACGTGCAAGGTTGAGTGGCTCAGTTGTGTGTTGGAGCATCTCTTTATTGCGTCTACTTCTAAAGTAAGATGTTGGTAGGGGGCTGTTCACTTTTGTCTCGGGACCCGCCTCTCCCGTGGGAACTGTCGACAACAATACCGGATGCTCGAATCCGGAAGACAGAAACGAGGCACCTATTTCGGGAGCACAGTGAGACCAACGCTTTCTTCGGTGGCATAGAGGTTAAAGGTGAATCACGCGAAAAAGCCCATAGCCCGGCGAGAGTATAAAATCCTGGAGTACTTTTCCTAGTTTCATGGGTTTGCAAGAACACCACAACGCGAAACGCATCATATATCTCTTCTTACGAGTCAAACTTCTACTCATTTGAAAATACCATCTAATCCCTAAGCACAATATTTCCCAACGAACCCCTCAAATATGCATTTTTCATCAACCTTTCTGCTTGCCATTGCCGCACTCCTTGATACGACCACTGCCCAAATCCCGGATATATTTCAGGGGTCTGCACACCTCGACAACAAAGGAGGAGGTATTTTCGATATCAACTAAATCTACAAATACAAGGGCGATTGCGAACTCATCCAATGCCAGCACGAAATGGGCACATTTCCGATGAACAATTATGTAGTCAGTTGTGCTCCTGATACAGAATACGCAGTCGAGATTGACTGGGTAGATTTTGATCTTCCCCTTCGTATTGCTATCATCACACCCAATGACGAACCATATGGCACTGATATGATTCCTTTCAACAAGAAGCATATCGTCGGCCCTACTGGATTCGAAAACTCTTGCGAGTTTGGCTTCAAGCTTGACAAAGATTACAATGAGTTACTTATCGAGGGCGATTCAAATCTGTCGCCTAATGCACCAAATGGCATTCATGATGATGAGCGCCCGATTCCCCTGTGCTAAACCCGCTGGGCTTCCAGAGCGGAAGTCGTCACTGGGTCGACCACGAAGAGAAAGCCAATTCGTACTTTGCTGGAGGAGGAGTACGATAGCTTGATCACAGTGTTCCAGCACTTCTCAGTGTCCAATATCTACCGAAGAAAGATTTCACCCCAAATAAAGAGACGACTTTAGACTCCAATAAAAACGGCAGGCCACCTTCACCAAGGTAGTCAGCTTCTAGAACAGGTCAGGCAATCGAAATCTGGCACCCAGAACCCTGTACTTTCGTTATGTTGAGGTCCGGCACAGCAGCACGCGCGGAAAGAGAACAAGATCATTGGACCTGATGAGACGGAGTTTTGGTAATTGCTAGCGTTACGTCTCGGGGTCGATTTTGATGATTTTCAAGTGTCCGTTGGGTATCATATGCTATGTTTTGGGAGCAGTTTTAGCGATTCTTGTTCTTAGACTCTTCTCAAGTGAAATATATGTTTCTTTCCCTTATGAAAACCACAAATACATGTAAAAGGAACGACTACTGTAAGAATAAGAAAAAAGTCAAACGCGCTCCGCTGTGTTGCCTAAACCATTAAACCCAAGAAAACCCAAGAAAACCCAAGAAGCCCAGAGATCGTAATCTTACCGTGTGCAAGCCATTCATATCTGAAATCGCGAAAGACCAATCCCAATCTTCAAACAAAGACTAAGCCTGATAAGAAACAGCAACCATCTCCTCCCTCTTCGCATTTCTCGGTTGTGCACTACCCGAAAACAGAACCCCATCAGGACCATTCATAAATACAAATTTGCAACCTCCGTCCTTCCCACCGACAGACTTGCTACAAGCATAGGCCTGGGGGCTATAAGTGGTTGTCTTTCCACCAGCGGTAAACATAGTACTCATGTCTTTGCTCTCGTCTTCCCAGGAGAAAGCGAGCGCGGATCCTGCTTGACAGAGGATGGGGAGATTCTTGATTGGGAAGTGGAGTGGTCCGAGGTTGAGAGCTCTTTCACAGCGGAAGGCATTGCCTTGTGGACCCTCAAAAGCGTAGATTTCGAGCTGGACCTCGCCAGATGGTTTGATGACTGTGGATTCGGACATATCCCAAACTTCTATCGCGGTCGTGGAGGTGATGAGGAGTGCTGCTGTCGCGATGAAAGAAGTTGGGAATTGTATCTTGAATTCTGAGGAGATTTGGTCAAACTATTGCGGTTTTTTGGTATTGTTTATGTTTTTGGTTTTTGGCTATTGTTGTAGTCAAGAAAGAAGATTGTTTGTGGATGACAGTGAAGTGATTAATGATGATGTCTTGAAAATGGGAAGTGATGAGAACGCACTATATATATCGACTTACTCGTATTTTCAAGCGAGCAGAATCATTTAATCCATCATTCGAACGAAAAGGCCAATTACAAGAAGGTTTATGTCTCAAGAACCAACTAAGCCTCCAACAAAAGCACTGTAAAATCTCAAAGTCCCATAGTTGTTGGTTCTTGCAGATTCTAGTCATGAGTATACAGTACGGCCAAGCTTAGAAAGCGCAGAGGCTGTGTCATTAAATGGAGGGGCATACTGAAATCGGTCTCAGTATCCGATCTCGTACTTTGACGTAAGTAAGGTAGAAGACTTACGTGGCGCAAGAGTTCAAAAAACACCACTCCTAATGCGAATCAAGGACAAGAACGCAACAGATGAGAGTCTTATTCCTCGGAATTGTAGCTTTCGGGTGCCTTTCATCTACCTCACCTCCAATATGATAGCGCTTGTTATCTCCATAGAAGAGTTCCTGCCTATCAACAAGTCATGACCAGATAAAAAAGGGAAGAAGAAACACCCTACTTAGAAGATACCACATAATGACACCCACCACAAGAAGTTGGAATGTTGCGATGGTCGCTCCGAATAAGAGGAAGGTTCTAACTTTACAATAAAATGCAATGCGTTTATTCGCCAACTGATACGAGCGCAAATTCCACAATAGATCGAACCAAGTTTACGAGAACAGAAGCTTAAATTACGAGCTAATTGTAAGGCGCTTGTTTGAAGTAAGTCTTGTTGGTTTAAATGAGACTGAGCTCTCTTACGTAAATTACTGTGAATGCTCAAGATAGCCCTGCCTGTTACAGTACCCTGTGGACCTCGTGGCTGTGTTAAGCGAGAGCTCGTAAGACTGAACGAATCATAATGAAGCACCACCCCCATATTTTCCCGTTCCAGTTATTTGAAACCAGAAAGATCATGTACACATGAAACATATACCAATCACCAAGTCATATTTATATCAGAAGCTTTTGCTTTCATACCAGTATTCAATTGATTCCTAAACAAAACAAACCCACTGACTTCGGAACTCTTCCTTATCAGTAAAAATCTATAACACCATTCCCAATGCACAATAACCCCAAACACCAGTCGCAATGCATTGAAATCCCCAGGCCTCAGAACCCCGCCTTCAAATACACCGGAATCCCATATACACAAACAGCGGCCGCATTAAGATATCTTAACTTACAAGCCTCTTTTCCTTTCGCCACAGCCTCCACGACAGACAGATGTTCGGTCACGGCGGCCTTCTTCTTCCCTTTTCCTTTCTTGTCGTTTTTGCTCTCGCTTTCGAACAACCCCCAATGTTCAAAAGTAGTCTTTGCAAAGCGATCGATGTCCTTATCTGTGACATCCCATAATGTAGCTACCAACGCCGGAGAACCAGCATGCATGTAATTAATGGCCGGGCCATGGGGCTCGAACTCGCCAACTTCCCCCAAAGCACCACTGCTGCACCCCATGAGGAATGCAACCGAGCACTTGGATAATTTCCTGATTTCCCTGGCGCGGATATACTGTGCTCCGCTTCCATGGCCAAAGTACAGAAACAGGTCTTTTACCTGGAGGCTCTGTATGATTTCTTGCTCCGTAGGCTCTCGTTTTGTGATGCCGTCCCATTTCAAGCTCTGAAGACTTTTCTCAAAAGTAGATTGCGTATTTTTGAGGTCTCCGCTTGGGTTGAGGATGTATGAGCCACTTCCGGGATGGATGTAGTGCCCCTCAGGCGTATCGGTTCGTTCTTCTGAATGTTGAAGCATTATACGCTCTCGCAGGCAGCCAAGAGATGGCAGTCGCGAGACGGCTTGCCCGTCCATACAAGGAAGTGATTCCCATGGGAATGCATGGAGCGCTTTGTCTAATACCAAGATGGTGTGCCTTCCCTCATTTGCTTGGTGAGATGCATGTATAGCCTCGTGATAGCAACGCAGGGCATCGTGCGTCTCAATCACAATTTGATCAAAGTCAATTTCTGCATAAGCGTTGTATTCGCCATGGAATTGGAGAATATCGACAACAAAGTAGAGCAAGTCAGTTAGAGGCTCGGAAAGGTCGATGTCCTCGATAGAAGCATCTCCCAAGCCGATGAACAAGTCCAAGATTCGTGAATCTAAGGTAATCCGAGGAACCGCTGTCCGTTTTTTGCTCTTTTGCCGCGAAGGTAAATATTTATCAAGAATATTCTGGAATGACTTTTGGAAACGTGCAAGTAAATCTGATCTCCTGTTATGTTGAGAGAATATTCCTGTGAAACCTCCTAGCCAGACTTTCTGAATGTTTTCCAGGAGTTCTTTGAGTCTCAAGTCTAGCTCCTCACGTTCTTCCCACCACGCAGCCTTGGCTTCTCTTCCAGTGGTATTCTTAGACGAATGGGCGGTCTCGTTTGCTCTTTGTACGATGTCAAGAAGCTCAGCCTGACCTTGTTCGAATCCGAAAACCTCTTCGTCCGCATCCATCGAATTGTGCCGCCCTAGCGGCAGACGAAGGACGAAAGGAGTCTGGCCAGCTTGCATTTTGGTGATCGATAGCTCATTTCTGCTATCGCTGAGCGAGATTGAGATTGCCATCCATGACTTTGGTATGATCTCCACATAGTCCCTCTGGAAACGAGATAGGTCTTGAGGAACACTTAGACTGGTTCTCCTAGATTCTGTTGTTGCGGTCGGTGGCCAAGACATGTAATCCACTGCAACATTGGGCGTCGATATGTCAGCCTGAATTGCCTTGCGTTCTCTACGGAGGCCCAGTGTTCTTGCAGTTTCTAATTAAAATTAGTACAGTTATAAGTAAAGACCGGATAATCTTGCGAGATCCTACCAATTGTACAGCTTGAAAAGCCAGGGCTGGTAACCAATTTTCCCTTCGAATAACCAGACGCCGACAATAGGATAGAGACACTGTTAAAAAGTGCTGATATCTTGTGGATGATACCAACAGGCGAAGTGACCACAGCGATCGAATGAGCTTCCATGAGAAGTTCTTGAGCTTGACGAAGCTGTTCAAAGCAGGCGTCGGAAGCAGCTATTTTGGCACGAGCTACACTCCGACCCCCCTTGGTAACTGGCACTCTCTTTACTGGTGATTTAGTAGTAACACTATCACATTTCAACATGCCCATGACGGAGGGGAACGATATTGTGGAATCTTGAAGAACCGAGTATACTGGGTCTCCGATCATCTGTTCTAGGCTTTGAAAGAGAAGCTGTTTCGCCATCGCAAGTCGATGATCCACGACCTCAGAGCCAGTTTTCTCTGACAATGCTGCTCGCCCTAGGAGGACCAGAGCTGCACCACACTGCTTCATCAATATTAGAATTCGTGCCTTTTGTCGAAGTACTGTAGCTTTCAAAGACTCCAGCTGACTGCATTCCTCGAGAATTGACAAGACAGGCTCTAATACTGGAGTTTTTGCACGAGCTACTGCTTTCTTCTTGGGTGGAGCCTTGGGTCGAGTGATAGCCTTGCGTTTTCTTCCGGCATTTGTGTCCGAAATCCGAAGTTTGGCGACAGCCTCGGTTATACCGAGAGGTGCTCTCTTCTGCTCCAATTCCTCGCGTTCTGACACGATCAACTCTTCTAGGGTCTGTTCGGCAACATCATATGATTCAATCGCTGCATCGTGATCTCCCAGACGATCATGCATATTTCCCACATAGTAGGCCAAGGTCGCAGTTTCCCTGCTTTTTGCAAGTAAAGACGAGAGCCCTTTCGACTGATTCAAAAACTCAGATCCTTTGTCCAACACACCCGCCCTGAGCCAAGCATTTCCTAACAATGCTGCTGCTAAAGCCTGGTATACAGCAGAGTTCGTTTGCTTGACAAGAATCTGACTTTGTTCCGCGTAATAGATGGTCTCTTGAAACATACCCAGGTACGAGTAGACATCCGAGAGATGAGTAAGACCACTGAAGAGTGGCTTAACCAAGGTCCAGAAGCAGGAATTCTTACTAGATGACATACGCGCTGCATTGGGCGGTGGAGCGGTTGATATGGCGAACTTTGCAAGTTCGTCCGCCAAATCTCCAACATCAGACGGTTGAGAGGTTGTACTGGATGTAGAAACTCGTTTGTTTTGCTCCTGAATACGTGCCCAAGCTTGTCGCAGTAGTCTAACGCAGTCCTTTGCGTGAGCCAATGCTAAGTGCGCAGCGCCATTGGACATTGCAAGTTTTGAATTGATAAGATAAGCGTAAGATATCAATTGCGTCCTCATCACCTTTTCTTCCATAGTCTGAGGGACAGATCTTCCTGTCTTCGATGCTTGGTCGGTACAGTACAGGGTCCGCGCACGCTGAAGAAATTCCTCACTTGTCAAGTTAGCTTGGCTTGTCATAGTATACTGGAAGCTACCTACCTTTTGTCAAGATTGCCTATTTCTAGCAGATACTCGGCATAGGCAAGATGAAATTGCAAAACGGTTGTTAGTGATACACCCCTCTGGTCGCTACAGGTTTGAGCTTTATCCAACGCCAACCTAGCTCTACCAGAGTATCCTAAATATAACCATTGAGAGCCCATGGCTATTAGATTCGAGACAACTCCATCTGGGCCTGATGGACTTCGGAGTTGTGCATTGAGATTTGAGATTAAATCCAGGACTGTTATTCGAAGAGTATCATGTCCCTTTACTTGCAAAAAGGAAGCAATGGTTTGTAAATGGCCAACGAATCCTTCAATGTCCTCAAAACGACTTTCCAATGCTTCGAGAGTACTGCACGATGACTGAATCTTACGCCAGACCAACACGTTGCTTTCCAAAATCTGAATATCAGGCTCATCTTTCTGCAGTTCAAATGTCGTTGCTGCAAGACATTTGAAGTAATCCCAGTAAGGTTCCAACTCTCTGTCCTCAGTTCCTTCAATGTCGATTTGGCTGTGCTCTTCCATGCACACCTCCTCTTGAACACGATCAGGAAAGTCGTGCAGCTCTTCTCCCAGCTCAGAAAGATCAACACCCATTAGCTCAATAACCACGCGAAGTCTGCGGACTGGGTACTGCTCGCGGTCATAGATATCGAGCAGAGATTTGAACATTGACGACTGCAGCTTCAAAATCCCTTCTGATCTTTTGGTTTGCGCACATAGATATAGCAATAGGTGCTCCGTCATGGCTGCGGTTTCAATCCTAGACCAGGAAGGGTCGAAGAGCGCATCGTCTTCTGCTGCTGAGTCGAAATACCTAACCTTGATCTTTAGAAGCGTATGAGCTGCACGAGCGAGCATAGAGGCTGCCTCATCCTGTTCCCATGCAGCACGTAACGGCTGAGAAGCAAGAGAGGTGGCGACGTCAGATAGCACTCCGTCATTAATCGAATCGTCGCGCATCGTTTTGAAGACCTCGAGCAATTCATCGTAGCGGCTCGCCGATTTGTAAAGTTCTGCCATTCTTTCAAGTTTTATTGTGGAAAGAGCGGCCTTCTTTTCACTTGAAGATCTTGATCGGATACAATCAATGGACCTTTTCAGTATACGTAGTTGCTGGGCGTCTTTCACACCACTCGAGCTTCGCCGTTCGTTGAGAAAGTAAGTATAGTAGAGGTTTGATATTCTGACGTATGATGAGGGAGTTGAAACTGCGCCAGGAGAACTGGGTTCTTCAGACTTAGGCCCAATTTGGTCGATCAAGGTCAGGCAATCTTGAAGCTTGGAGTCCATCAGGTCCCACGATAATCGTCCCTCGTTGAGTAGCGTTCTTACGAGGAAAAGTGTCGAATCGAGAGAGTGAAGTCCGAACTTTCTGATAAACATTCTGCGTTGCTCATATCGAACTACATCCTTTGTCGCGGCTTTTGAATCTGGTGCTTTTCCAAGATATCTCAAGCCCAATCTTGGACACAAAAACACTAAAGTCTCGCACATCTGCCGCATCCCTTCGGTCAATTGATGCTCAGCACTACAAGTTGGAGTCGCCCGTGCCAACAATGCTATGGCGGTACGCCGAGCTCCAGAAACTTCCGTCATTAGATCGTCAATTTCGGATGAGCTCCCTTTATAAGGGGATTCCAAGAGGTCGAGTAGGTGCATGAGCAACTCTTCTTCTTTTGGCGTTCTTTTTGCTGACTTGAGAGAAACTGATACTTGTCTCGCAATGACGAAAGTTTGTCTAGCTACGGAGCTGTTCCCAGCGTGCTTTTCGAGTTGAAGAGCCAAATCCAATGCGTCTTCTAGACAACCACGCTCTTGCAGGAGGGAGCTTAGTAACCTGTAAATATCAAAGAACACTTGTGAAAGCTCTGGCGGCTGCTCTCCAACAAGTTTGTCTTTCCAAAGTTCGTGTAGACTCTCGAAAACGGCCGCTGTTGATCTAGAAGCCCTTCCTCGCTGGATGCGACGAGCATAGGTAGAGAGACATCGAAGGAAAGGTTCAAATAAATCCTTGGAAAAGTCGGCTTGTCTGGGAAGGAGTGTCCACGACAAGAGACGTGTTTGAAGAGCTAGAGATTGAAGTTGGTATGCAATAAATGGGTCTACGCTGAGTTTTGGTTGAACTGCAATGGCATCTTCCGAGGTTGTGACACTAGGACAGAGCGATAATAAGATATCTGAGAGGTTTTGAAGTTGACGCGCAGCTTTTTCCCGCGACTTTTCGTCAGTCACGCTTGACATCAAAAAACTAGTAGGCGATGAGGGATATTGGGGGCTCAAAATTGAAACATCGATAGTCGTATACTTAGTTGAAGCCATTAACCTAAGTATTTGAAGTTGCGTTGTGATTACCAGGCCTAGCTTCGGGCCGGTAAACGTGGCCGTGCCAAAATCGACAAGCTGATGCAATTCTTGTGGTGGTTGTGAGCCATTAACTTTGGTTGGTAATGGTTTTTTGGTCGGATCTTTCAATTCCAGTCTTCTTCGTAGAATCCGTACTTCTTTCAGAGCCAAATCATCCAATCCCAATGTTATGAGTTTTCCGACCAATACAGACATGCCATTTTCGAGCTGAAGTGGAGGTAAATTGACACCTGGTATTTGTGCTGTTTGTAATGATCGAAGGCATGCGAAAGCTATTCGAGCACATTCTGCTAGCGAGTGAGGTCCCGGAGATGTTAAAGAGGCAGATGACGCTGATCTGCCAAGTCGACAGATGGGACCGGGTGAGCTCGATACTCTGTTTAACGTTCGAGGTTGTTGAGGCGACTGCGGTAACGAATTCGACCGACGGAGATTTCTGCGCGAAGTGGTTTTGATTAAGTCTTTGGAAGATGGCTGCTGTCGCACTGGAGGTGGTGCAGGCGCCTTGATTGCCTCCGTAAGAGCTTTTAAAGTCGCATTTATCACCTCAGTAGCTAGAATTGATCGCGCTTTCTGCGAAATTTCGTGAACATCCTCATGTTGTTGCTGCTGGTTCTCTTGATCTGGAAATTGAACCTTCTTGCTTCTCGACTTCGCTGGCGCTTTTTGCGGCCTACTCCTCGAATTCGTAGTATATGTAGCTGTTTTTCTTGTATTCGAGGTAGGAATGGTTCTATTTTCTGAAAGCGAACTCGATTTTGGGAGGAGGAGGTCGCTGAGGGATGTGACAGTTACTGGTGTACATGTTGATGTTGACTTTATCGCAGCGCGTATTGACTCGGCGTCGGCTTCGTAGGAACTCATGGTGATGATGAAATCCGATAGAGAGAAGTGTACAGATTTAACCAAAATTAGACATTATACTAATTGGGTCTTTCGATGGAGGTGCAATTAACTGTACAGCAAAGTTGAGTTTCAAGGTTGTATTTGTTTTCATTTAGCTTGGCGACCGTTGGATAGGGGATGGCGGTAGAACGTTAGTCCGATGGAATTTCTGGAAAGTTGTGACTTTTGCCTCTAGAGCTTTGAACTAACTTTGAAAATGCTTAAAAATCAAATGTGATATATCGACTGAATGAATCAATTCTGATTATCATGGAGTATATCAATCAAAAATATACTGTAATTCATAGCCACATACATCTAGCAAAAAACTCATCACCACTCACTCCTAGGGTTCTTCCGTTCCGACCAACGCTAAACCCAAAATGTGAATGTGCCGCCATACATTTATTCTGACAGCCTTTCGAGCTTCAGATAATCAACCCCCCACCAATATGGCCACAGCAAGACCCAGTCTGACTCAATTGAGTCGGACGTACTCGAATTCGGTACGACCATCACCCCTCCATCTCCCAATACGACAATTCAGCATAACGACGCCCTGCGCAAAGGGAAACAAGAAGATAGTCTCGAAGAAAGAGAAGCCCGCCTCGAAGCCGACGACATTCAAGAAGAAGGTTGTGGAAAAGAAGAAGAAGACGAAGTCCACCACACACTACCCGGTTCCTAGTATGAAGAATGCAGAGACATTTGCGCTCTTGGATGCTATGCGGTAGGATATCTGCTGGATTTAGTAGGAAGGCTATGCTAATTCAGGATAGCATAATTCGAGCATGGGAAGTAGGACAGAAACCGACGTCTGTCAAGTACGAGATTGCGCTGAGGATATCTGGACTGAGAAATGGACCTGTGGTGCGAAATCGAATAAGACTCCCCCACCCTGTCAAAACGGATTTCAATGTCTGTGTTATTTGCCCGCCGGATTCGAAATATGCCGAGGATGCGAGGGCAGCTGGTGCTGTATTGGTAGGAGAGGATGAGGTGTTTGATGCTGTAAAGGATGGGAAGATTGCATTCGACAGATGTCTTTGCCAAACCGACTCTCTAGTCAAAATGAACAAATCTGGGATAGGACGAGTGCTGGGTCCTCGAGGGTTAATGCCAAGCACTAAAACTGGCACCGTTGTGGCTGATCCAGTAAAGGCAATGAGAGATATGGTGGGAGCTTCAGAATATAGGGAAAAGATGGGGGTTGTCAGAATGGCAGTGGGCCAGCTGGGGTTTACCCCCAAGGAGATGCAAACCAACGTCAAGGCTTTCATCGAAGCAGTAAAGAAGGACATTGCACGATTGAGTGATAAGATTAGCAAAAATATGGCAGAGGTGGTGTTGAGTTCGACGAATGGGCCGGGTCTACCACTGAATGGAACATTTGCCTCTCCAGCCTCAGAGATCACGGAAGCCGATTTGTCTGGGAAGTAGTGTACAATCAAGTTGTAAATATTACTGTAAAATATTTCAATTATTGTTCCTGGTATATGCCTTCAACTCCAATATAACCTGGTACAAAAGACATACAACGCTATGCTACAGAATCCATTTTTCTCTAAAGACTATTTCGATTTCAAGTCTTTCAATACCTTGATGGCTTCGCTTTCTGCCCCAAGATGTCTATACAATCCCAGCATCGTGATCATCTTTGATTTTGCTGCTTCTCCAGACGCTATCGTTTTCAGTGCGGCATTCAGATCAAGTAGAATCGTGTTTCTGACTCGAACCATTCGTGACTGTTGGGCAACAATAAAAGGATGATCTTCTCCCACGCTAGATGCCAATCGTTCAACATGAAGACAATCCATCACCAACCTCTGAAGCTTCTTCGTACTCGGTCCACCAACACCAGCACTCTGAGCCAGCTCATCTTCATCCTCATCCTCATCCTCCTCACTCTCCGACCAAGAATCCTCATCCTGACCCTGAACGCTCCTCCCAAGCGAACTAACCATCAGCCTCTCCTCCAACTCCTCCAACCTCCCATCAACCTCCAGCAACTTCCTCCCCACCGCAATCTCCCTACTCACCTCCTTCTTCTCCTCAAGCAATCCCTCAACTTCCACTTTCCTCTCCCTAACCTTCCCCCTCACATCCTCAACTCCTCTCTTAAAACCCAGCAGGCCAACCCGAACATCCTCCACCTTCTCCTCACCACCCATAAGGTCTGAGCCTAGGCTGAGGAACTGCTCATAATTGGTGTTGACGAGGTCTAGCAGTTCTTTTGAGAGGGCCTGGGAGCGTTCTCTTAGGTCGGTACGTAGGTCCTCGAGGGTTTGGTGGCGGTTGGAGAGTGTAGAAAGGTATGTTGGTGCGGAGAAGGCGGGGGATAGGAAGTCGGATCTTGGGAGGGCCTTGGGGTAGGGGAGGTTGTCTTCGTCGTCTGAGGAGTTGGGGTCGGTTGGACCGCCGAAGTAGAATTTACTCATTTTTTGAGTCTTGAGTCTTGGAACTTATTGGTTCCGAGACCTTGTATGATGAGAGTGTCCTTAGTACGACTGGTCTTGGTTTGAGTGTCTTTCTCCCAATTGCTCGCACAGTCTGAGATCTGATATTGTGTTTCGAAAGAACAGATTCGATAGAATGAGCTGGGGCAAGTGGTTTCTCAATTGAGTGAGTTTGTGAGTTTTCTTGAATAACCTGCTGTTGGAGAGAGAATCGAATTTATGAGTTCAAATATGGGTCTGTTCTGGTCTAAAAACTCATCTCAACATCTCCTCTCACTCCCGTCTGAGAAGACGTGGGGTTAAAGACCCGTCCTCGCCGTCCCTCCATAAATCTTGATGCCAAGACAACGGAGTAAGGATTCGCCGACGTAGCTTTCGCTCCATCAATATTTCTCGCGCAACCAAAACATCCTCATAATCAACTATACACACAAGCATGAACAAATCACCCCTCCTCCGACGCCTCCTTCTCGCACCTCCAACTCTACGGACCTCAATCCTTCCCCAATTCACCCCAATACATACCCGAACATCAACCCGCCAATATGCCTCCCCCAGCATCCTCCAACCCTCCTTCTGGGCCTCCATGATCCCCAAGCCTCTGCGACGCACCCCCTCCTCCGCCCTCACCAATGCAAACAAATCCAAAAAAGCAGTGAAAAAAGATTGGAACCCCGCAACTTTTTTTATCTGGATATTCCTCTTCATTGGCTCCATGTCCATTCAAATGATTGCTTTGCGCAACGAGTTCGCAGCTTTCACACGGCGCGCAGACGCTAGGCTTGGGTTGTTGCGTGAGATTGTGGAGAGGGTGAAGAAGGGGGAAGTTGTTGATGTGGAGGGGTTGCTTGGGAAAGGGGGGGGCAGGGAGAAGGAATGGGAGGAGCGTAGGTTTTTTCCTTTCCTTTCGTTTTTTGAAGGGTGATTTGGGTATCTTGGGTTGGACTAACGACTGCGTAGTTTTACAAGAAATTGAGGAGGAAGATGCAGCATTGGAGAGGTCGAAGAGTCACAGAGCGCAAACGATTAAACCTATAGAACAATTGCCGACTTCAAAACTTGCGATACAAACGTCGAAGCCGAAAGATGAGCAGCCGAAACCGAAAAAGACTGCGCCGGGTTTCTATTGAGGTTTCTACGTTGTATATTACATTTGTACAATAGGTTTTAGCTACTATGATAGCATATCTTTGAATACTCTACTATTCGTTCGGAGATCCTCTGTTGGACCTGCGTTGTCATCCGCATGTGTATGCGTAAATCCAGTACGCTTTAACTGTTCAATCAACCCCGGTAGGAGTTTATCAGTCCCAATTTCTACTCGTATACCCGCTTCTCCTTGTTGACCTATAGGTAATTCCTGGAAGAAAGTTTCTTCTCCCCTCACTCCCCCAATATTCAATATCCCAATCGGCATTCCTCTTTCCTTCGCTCTCCTCGCAAGTCGAAACGCAGAATAAGTCGCCAAAGAAGTCCCCATAACGAGGAGTCTCCCAGACCCATCTATGGCCTGTTCGGCTGCCTCTTTAACTCTACTATCTATGCTCTCCCCAAACATAACAACAGCAGGTTTCAATATCCCCGCCGTACTCCCTTCTTTCAACCCTCCATCCCCATCAATATCCACCACCGTCCTCGTCCCATCCCCAGCAACCGGTGGCTTGGCCAAACATCGAGGACAAGCCGGATACCGAAACGTCGAATAGGGGGCACCAGGCAAATCCACATCTCCATCTGGATTGGTCTTCATGCCCCTCGCGCGTCGCTTGTCCGGGGTTTCAGTCTCCAACGCACCTGATTTTATAGCTTCCACCAGGAAAGCCGCCCACGCAGGATTCAGCCGTCCCAACTTCTCCTGAAACTCCTCCCTATCCAAATCACTCTGACAAGAAACACATCTCACGGCCCTCAGATAGCCATGCAGCTCCAGCGTAGAAATCTCAGGATGCGCAATCCCATGGAAGGAATCCACATTCTGCGTCACCACACTCCGCACAATCCCCATACCCCCCAAAGTCTTAATCGCGTAATGCGTCACATTCGGTGAGGCGCGATGTAGATTCGTCCATCCCAGGAAACTGCGCGCCCAATATCGTTGCCGCGCTGCATGCGAGGCGAGGAATTCGTGGTAGTAGATTGGTCGGTAGGTTTTGTTTACTATGTAAGTTCCTTTTGTGCCGCGATAGTCTGCTAGTCCTGAGGCGACGGAGATTCCTGCGCCTGACAAAACGACTGTTGACTCGGGGTCATAGTTCTTTGAATTAGGTGAGTTTTGGAGGGAGGGGGATGGCGGGGCTGTGAGGAACCGCGAGAGTGCGGCGATGGCGCCTGGGAGGGTATTTGCGTTCCGTGGGATGATAGATGGGGGTGGAAGGGGCCCTGTGTAGGGAATTCGCATGAGAGGTTTGTTCATTGAGGAGGAGGGGAGGTTTGGAGAGGTGGTGATTGGGTGATGGTGGGAGGAAGTTCCAATTGTGCCTGTGGCGTCATGGACATGGGGTTGTACCTACCCCGGAAAGCTTAATTCCATGTTGCCCCGCATTTTCTTGGGTGAATGTCCTCGAGCCTCGAGGTTGCCCGTGAGTTTCGATGGATTCGGTACCAGTGCTTTTGTCAATTGGTGCAGATTGAGGAAAGTTATTGGATGATTTTGGAATGGATACTAGGCAAGTACTGTATCAATAAAGGCAGGGATTAGAAATCTCCGGTTTTCTCTCCTACCCAAAATCCGTCGTCACTGATGATCTGACATAGGTACTCGTACCCACAAGAAACGGAAAAAGGCAAGAAGTGGAAAAGCCCAACAATATCAAGAAGTGTACAACTCCTAAGTAAGTTACCTGAATCCCCTAACAAACAAACAAATTAACAACTCCTCAAAAGCAGAATAAGGAACTCACCTCACGTGAACATCCCCCACCTTCACAACTATCACCACATGAAACAACTCAACCATTCCACTTATATTTACACATCTTCACAACTTCAAACCCAAAAATTAAAATGACTGAACTAAAATCTCCCTACCATTTACCGCCCTTCTCCATCTCCCCACCCTTAGTCAACTCCTCCAATCCCTGGGCTTCAGACGAGTCCCAACTACTAGCTCTCTACCAATGTCCTCACACCGGCGCAGTAACAACACGCACCTCACTTCTGGAAGCCTTTTCTCAAGATGCCTCAAAACACCAACATACATTCTTCTCACCCCAACTCGGACACTCTACCATTACATCTCTTCACCCAGATTCGAAGGACAAGGATACACACACCACAGCAGAAAATGAAGAATATCAAGATCCCACCTCTTCACTAAACACCTACGGATACTCACCCCATCCATTCACCCAATACCTCACCTGGCTGCGCAAATTCCGAGATTCCAATCTTTTAACAGGAATCCTAGATCCGCAAACCGGAATGAGAAAGCGGAAACCCTTCATAATTAGCACAACGGGTCCACCATCTGAAATCCACACCCACCTTACAGCCCTCCTCACCCTTCAAAATGAGCCCCTAACCCTCTCTTCACGCCAACACGAAGGAGAGGGCCTGGAAGTTCTTCTAGAAATAAACCTTTCCTGCCCGAACATCCCGGGAAAACCACCACCTGCATACAATCCCCCCCTCCTCCTCGAGTACCTCATCGCCATCGAGGAAGCGAAATCTTCCTTCTTGGCTACGAGAGCGAAAGAGAAAGGAGACGATGCGATATTACACGACATCCACATCGGCCTCAAAAACCCCCCCTTCACATACACCACCCAATTCACCTCCCTCCTCTCACTCCCAGGCTTCTCAAAGAACATCTCCTTCATCACCGCCGTCAACACGCTAGGCGGGTGTCTCCTCCTCTCCTCCTTGGGTCAAAACGCACTAGGGAGCGAGAACGGATGGGGTATCGGGGGCATGGCGGGTAGTGCTTTGCACCCGATTGCTTTGGGAAATGTGAGGACCTTGAGGAGATTGCTGGATAGTGACGAGGATGAGGGTCTTAAGAATATTAAGATTGTGGGGGTGGGTCGGGTGAGGGATCGGGCTGGGTTTGAGAGGATGAGGGGGGTGGGTGCGGATGTGG